ATTTTTTTTTTTTTTTTTTTTTTTTTTTTTTATATTATTATTATATATGAATTTATGTAAATATTTTTTTTGTAGATATGAATCAACACTTTTACTTTAATATATATATTTCTATATGTATGTTAATAATTTTTTACTTCATGATTGATTAAATTTACGTGTTTGTTTTGTCATTAGGGAAAATAAAAAAAAAAAAAAAAGAAATGAATTTTTTGTAGTATGTATAAAAAAAATTTTTAGAATATTTTTTTCTTTTTCTTTTTCCTTCTATTCTTTTTTCTTTTTCTTTATCTTTTTCTTTTTCTTTTTTTTTTTTTAATAAATAAGAATGAAATAGAAGAATTAATATACTTAAAATTTTTGGAATATAAAATTAAATAAACATAAAATAGAGAGATATTGATTAACAAAAGAGAAAAATAAGTTTCACGAAAATATATTTTTTATTAAACTTCTAAAAAAAAGATGAAGAAAACTCGTTTAAGAATGTTTTTGTCAATTGTTATATATTTAATCTCATCAATAACTTCAGTTTTTGCAAATAAATATGTATTAATGGAAAATGTAATGGATACAGTATTACTAATATTTTTACAACATGTATCTTGTTTAATTTTTTTATTTTTATTCAGAAAGTATTTAAGAAAATTTCAAGACAAAAATAACTTTCAAGATTATTTCTTTTCTTTATATGATGGAATAAAAAATATGTGGCAGTTGATAATATCTTTCAATCTTACACTAATATTTGGGAATATTTGTTTAAAATATACTAATGTATCATCTTATCAACTAGCCAGATCTATGACATTACCTTTTAATTTTCTTTTTTCTTATTTTTTTTTTAAACAAATTAAGTTTAATTGTTTAATGACACTTTCATGTATATTAGTTTCAATTGGCTTTTTTGTTTTTTCAATTGATGCTATTAATACAAACTATAAATCTGTATTATATGGTTTGCTAAAATTATATATTCTTATAAAATATATATATATATATATATATAACATAATTAAAAATATATATATAATTAAAAAAAGAATTAAATGATTTGTTTTCATGAAAATATTACTAATTATCTAAATAAGTTAATAGAATATGTTTTTTACTTAAGTTGAATAAATAAATGGTTATTTATTTAGATTTGTATTTAATTATTAATTTATATCTTTTTAAGATTATTTAATGGATTAGTTATATATATATATATATATATATATGTATATTTTTTTTTTTTTTTTTTTTTTTTTAAAAGGTACTATAGTTTCAATAATTCAAGCAATTCATTTAAATTTGTTAAAAGTGAAATTAATGATATATAAGGATAAAATGATTATGATGCATTATAATTTAATATATTCTTCTATTATTTTATTTATATACTTATTTTTAACTAAAGATATATTTATCATATTTACATTGAATTATAGAATTTTATTTTTTCTTTTTTTATCTTGTAAAAAAAAAAAAAATAAAATAGTAAAATTAAAATAAGAATTACAAAGATAGCATTTATTTTAATATTATATATATATATATATTTTTTTTTTTTTAAATTTTTAGGTATATCTTCAATTTGTGTAACATTCTCATCTTTTTTGTGTATTTATTATACAGATAATGTTGTTTTTAATATGTTTGGAAATGTTAAATCAACTATTCAGACATTTTTAAGTAAGTTTTATTATTCTGAAAAATTTAATTTAAATACAGTAATAGGTATAATACTAACTACAATAGGTTCTTTTATTTATACATGTTCAAGTGAATATGCAAAAAAAGAGAAAATCAATTAGGAAAAAAAAAAAAAAAAAAAATGAAATAAGTGCAGTTTTTTTTTTTTATAAAAAAAATTAATAAATAAATAACAAAAATTATATTTTAAATATCTTTAAAATACTCTTTATTTTTCTATGAATATATAATTTTTTTTTTTTTTTTTTTTTTTTTTTTTTTTTTTT